TTGGCAGCAATTGAATCCAGCTGATTAATGTCTTAGTTATCTTGATGGGGCCTCTGGTAGAACACTATGGAGCTCTGACATATAACCTTCCCACTGAAGACTTTAGGAATTTGGATAAAGGCATGTAGGATGGATGCATTCCAAGCAAATATGCAGATGGCCGTAAGTTGAGAGGGACAGTAAATATAATAGATAGAGAATAAAAATTCAGAATATTTCTGATCATGTGAACATTGCGTGGAACCCAAAAAAGCTGAATTTAATGAAGCTAAAGGTGAAGACTTTAAGCTCAAAAGATCAAGCTTGAGTGCCCTGGCCAGTGTAGCTCAGTTGGTTGGAGCATCCAGTGGGGGCACATACGGGAGGCAAATGTTTCTCTTTCACATTGATGTTTCTCTCTTTCTCCCCCCCTCCTTTCTTCTCTCTCTCCCCTCTCCCTTCCTCTCTCTTTAAAATCAATGAAAGGCATATCCTTGGGTGAGGATTTTTAAAAAAAATAAGATCAAACTTGAATAAGAAAGGAGATCTTGTTTGATAGAAGTTTAGGTAAAAATGATCTCATTTAATTGATCCTAAGCTTAATATTTTTTCATCCATCCATCCATCAAATATATATTGAAAATACTACCAGCCATTCACTCTTCTTGGCATTGGGGAGACAGTAGTGAACAAAATAGTCAAATATCCGCTCCTCCATGGAGCTTATATTCTTTATATGCCAACAGTTGTTCAGCTGCCTAAAAAAAAAAAGAAACTAATGTTAGGCTTTATTTGCAAAAATATAATATCCACCTCATAATGGTTAATAGTTCTACTCTATTAATACCTCATTATTATTTTTTATTGATCTTAGGGAGGAAGGGAGAGAGAGAAACATTGATTCGAGAGAAACAAATCAATTGTTTGCTTCCCATACATGCCCTCACCAGGGATTAAACCCACAACCTAGGTATATGTCCTTATTAGGACTCAAACCCGTGACCTTCCATTGCACAGGACGACACTCCAACCAATTGAGCCACACTGACCAGGGCTAATCCCCCGTTCTTGATGCTATATTTTATACTGGGATCATTACTTTTCGTTCTGAATACTATATAGTCTGGACAAACAAGAGTGGCAATAACATGATGAGGAATATAAATCATGTGGGAGGAGGATTGGTCAGTGTTGAGATTAAGCAGAGATATTGTATCTGTGAAATATTTGCAGGATATATGAGAAGAGGGCATAAGCTTGTTCTATGTTGCTCCCAGGAGTCACTGCTAATTATAAGGAGGCTGTTTTTCCAGTAAATTTAGGAAAGACCACCTGTGAAGTGTCCTAGCTGCAGCTGGATGCCCACCTGTGTGAACTTCACAAGGCTGATATGTGTCTCTTGTGATGCCCAGTACTGTGCCTGGTACATGGTGGGCATCCAAAGGCTTGTTCATGGATATTCATCTGTCTTTTGTGAAGATAACCTAGGTATTAAAATATGATAAAAAAATTTGAAGTTTGGTGTTTGTATATCTTAGGGAATCTGAGGGTGGAATAAAGTACCTGAAAACAGCTGTGGGAGGCCAGAATATTTTCCCTATCATGTTCTAACATATACAAGTTAAGTAAAACACTTTTCTTAAGAGACATTTAAGGGGCCATTTTAGGATTTCTTTAAAATTTCTGAAGTGTGCTTATTCAAACATTTCTCAACCCAGCTCGACTCCCATTATTTTCTTGAGGTCTTCACTGTAATTCTGACCCAGACAGGGCCTTGCTTTCTCTGAACTTAGCACCAATTCTACAGTTTAGCATTTAATTCATTGCTAATTGCTTCATGGATCTCTCCATCTAGGTGATGAGCTTTTTTGAGGACAAAACTGTATTTTATTTTTTCTTGTATTCTCCCAAAAACATAGTAGAACGTCAGTAAGTGACAATTGCTTGATTACTTGATTCATTAGTTAGGAGGAATAGTTAGTAGAATAAGAGGAGTAGTTAGAATAGTAATAGTCATTCCAGCCACTATAAGAACTCATGTAAGACATGGCAGGGTAAATAGGCTAATTTCTCCATCTCCTGTATCCAAAGAAGGGGTTATATTCTTAATTTATTAGTCTCCTGCTTTGGCTGGCAAGTGCTTTGTACATAGTTGATTCTTTGTATATAGTTGAATCTGTATTAATAGCTGTAGTCCAAGGCTCAAACTGCCTCTTGGCTCAACCTCCAAGGGCAGCTGTCACCATAGGGACAGATCTCTAAGCCTGCTGTAGAGGCTCATCGACTGTGATTCATGTTAATTAGGATGGCCAGAGTTAGCACATGAAAACTTGCAGGGCGCCCAATCATATTTGAATTTCAGATAAACAACAATGCAATATTTGGGACACACTTATGCTAAAAAAGTATTCATTGTTTATCCAGAATTAAGCCTAACTGGGTGCCCTGCATTTTACCTGACAACCCTACATATAAATCACATTCCTTGCATTTTCCCACAAGTCTACGCCCTTAACCAACCCCCAAATTAACTCAACTGACTGAAAGAAAATATTTGTGCCCATGTGGTTGATTCCAATGGCAAATTTTAAATCATGAATGAAAGGGAACATCCATATGCTTATATTTTTTGTGGTGATATTCTTTCAGTTATAGCCAATAATGATAATTTACAGACATCTAGGATCTGGGCAGTCCCAAATTAATCTGTCTTGGTTTCCTTGGTGGCATAGTTTACATGGTTCATGTAACATATTGCTGGTATCATTTTGCTCAGGTATCACAGTAACTAGTGCTAACAAATAATTAGGCTTATGCATTTGAATCAGATGAAAGGTGAATTTAGTATAATGTATCATCTCAGCTCCTACAAACAACTGCATTGACTAAAAACAGCTGCAGGAATCAAAGCATCACCACTCGGTTAGGTTAACTATTTTGTTTCCTTCTTTCATCTGCTCAAAGGCAAGATAATATTCTGGTNAGTATAATGTATCATCTCAGCTCCTACAAACAACTGCATTGACTAAAAACAGCTGCAGGAATCAAAGCATCACCACTCGGTTAGGTTAACTATTTTGTTTCCTTCTTTCATCTGCTCAAAGGCTTGTTCCACCTTGGAAACTTCTTTTTGAGAAGCAGACATCTCACACTGAGGAAAACTGCCTCTGTTTTCCCTAATTAAATAATTATTTTGCTGTTTAATAGCAACAACCTTTAAATCCCATTCATACAGGAAACATTTATTTAGCAGATCGATAGAGGTACAAAGGAAAAACAAAATGAGTAAGATGTAGTCCCTGCTTATAAAGGTTCCCAAAAATCTGTTCATTAAATGCTGGCTTTTAGGTGGTTCAGCAATAATTTCAGTGAAAAGCTTGTGGTAAGAGCTAATTAGCTCATAGAGTAATGAAATGATTCTCCTCTCAAATGTTTTAAATATCAGACCTTACACTCCGAGCAGAAACTGCACTTAATGGGGAGTTCCAGGGCTAGCATTAGGCTGGTTTTCTCTCCCTTGATTATGTAGTTAGGATTTTGCTGTCACAGTGTGGTCTGCAGACCAGCAGCACCAGCATCTCCAGGGAGCATGTTAGACATGCACACTCTCAGTCCTGCTCAATCAGCATGTGCAACCAGGACCTTGAGTTATTCCTGTGCACACTTCCTTTGAGAAGCACTGACCTAATACAGATTTTCTCTCACTCAACTTGGTGCACACAGATCATCTGAGGATTTTATTAAAACATTCCTGGGCCTGCCCTTACAGATTCTGATTTTGTCTGGTAGGGGGAGGGCCTGAGAATTTGCATTTCTAACAAGTTACCAGGAGATGCTAGGCCTGCCTGTTTGACAACCACACTTTGAACAGCATCTGCCTAGTTTGCTTGGGGTACTGAATTGACAATGTAGTGGTGTTAACTAGAGTCTCAGTGAGGGGTCAGTCTGACTTTCCTTTGCCTACACTGGAGTCATCAACTTTACAATGAAATTGTCCCCTGGAACATCTCACCTTTGATGGGGATGGATTTGCATACAATGAACTGTATAGGCCAGTCTGTGACACCATTAGGAGACTACAGAAGAGGGAGAGTTAAATTCTCCCTGCAAGTTAATGGGATTTTGCTAGGTTTTTGCCAGGTTTAGTCCATTTTTGAGATTCATATGAAGAAATGCAAGGAGGCTGGGATACATGTGAGGCAACAGTAGTGAATCCTGTATTGCTACACTGGAGGGTATAGAGCCTGGGGAAGGAATGAAGGGGAGCAGAGAGTAGAGGAAGAGTAATGGGAAGTAAGTCTAAAAACAAGTTCAGGGACAAGATTGTGAAGAGTCTTAAATGTCACATTAAGGAGTTTGTGTTAAGTTAAATAACAAATTCAACTGAGTAAATGTTAAAGATCTAATTGATTTTATTGTGCAGTTCATGAATCAGGCAGCATCCCATCTAGCAAGTAGAAAAGGAGCTCTGAGGAGCGGTACAAATGGAAGTGTTTTATAGGCAGAAGGGGAAAATAACAGATTGTTTTGGACTTAGGTAACTTATTTATGCAACACAGAAGGGGGCTATGTAGCAGATTACCTCTTGTGTCAACCAGAAAGTTCCAGACTGACCAGTTAAGATGACATTCCTGGGGGTTGTAACTGCAATTAGATTAGGTATTAAGTTTTGGTTTGCTGGTGTGGGGCTCAGCACAAGTGACTCCATTTTGGGCCTTTTTTTTTTTTAAATATATCTTTATTGATTTCAGAGAGGAAAGGAGAGGGAGAGAGAGAGAGAGAGAAACATCAATGATGAGAGAGTCATTGATCGAGCCCACAACCCGGGCATGTGCCCTGACCGGGAATCGAATCCCGATCACCTGGATCCTAGGTCGATGCTCAACTGCTGAGCCACGCCTGGCTGGGCTTGGGCCTGTTTTTTAACTTTTAGAAGTTTTTGGTATAATGACACCTGTTTTTAAAAGTTTCCATGTTTCATACTTAATATTCAGTGTGTGTATTTCATTTTTTTCTTTCAGGATTAAGCATGAAAACATTGTGGCCCTGGAAGACATTTATGAAAGCCCAAATCACTTGTACTTGGTCATGCAGCTGTAAGTACCTTTTTAAATTGATGAGTGTTGACCAGGGATTGCAAACTCAAATGCCTACAAAGCTAGGTGGTAAAATTAACTAATGTAGTGGGCCAGGTAAAAACAAAACAAAACAAAACAGGGAGTGGTGAAGGCTGTTGGACATTGGAGATGTGTGTACCCAACTAAAGACAGTTGGCTGAACACAGGAGGCTGCAGGCCTCACTTGGTCTTGCCTGTAGCTGCTGGGTTAGTCTGAAAATCTGAAGTTTCCATAATGGGGTTCAGTGCTACCATTTGCAGGGTGCACCTACCTTCAGGATGACTGTTTTGCTTTTAATGTGGAAGTTCCAAATGCTGCTTCCTGAAAAGTATAACTGGAGTTAGACCTTGACAGTTATCACCCCAGTATAGTATGTCTGCATTCTAATAACACTGGAGATTACCAGAAGGGGGAGGAAATGAGAAAGCTAAATATTCAGGTAGCAACTATACTTGAACATGTATTTTTAAATGTAAGTTGAAATTAGCCTCCCCCCTCACACAAATGCTTCACTCTAAGTGATATAATTCCTAGGAGTAGTCCAGGACTAGATTTATTAGAATTAAGTGATGGAAACTGTGGAAGAGTGTTATACTTTAACCATGACCTGAGAAAATAAATTCTGAAATAACATATTATTGAGCTGAGTGACTGAAGAGGACTTTTGTTGAAGGTCAGAATGTATACTGAAATTTTATTATTTATGATTTTCAGACTTTGGATTGTCAAAGGTATTTAGAAAATTTGAGGGTTAGTCTAACAATTTATTTTTTATCTGTTCTTTTATTTTCCTTATGAATGTTTAAACAACACCTTATCTGGGGATCGTGGTGGTGACCAGCAGTTTCAGATTTGTGTTATTGTCAGCCATGAGCCTGGCAGGGAAGCAGTTTTGACTGCTGGTTTCATGCCAACTCCCAACTGCCTAAGTGCAGGCTTTCCTAGTTCTTTGCTATCCTGTTTGTTTTACAGTTTGCCACATTTATGGTTCTTCCTAGAGGCTGGCAGCTCTCCCCAGTCAGGGGGCAATCCCCAGAAGCTCATGTGTCTTTGTTTTGTATAGAGTTTGTGCTTTAAGCAGCAGGTGAATCAATTTCCCACCAAATATTGACTGCCCAATGGGAAGAATATGACATTCTGGTGACAAGAAAAGTCCCTACACAATGTCAGTAGTGTATTTAAATGTATGCTTTTTTATTGGTAATAAAAAAAAAAGTATTCATACCTTAGTTCTCTGTTGGAACTGTCACTTAAATCAGTTAGAAAGTACCCCAAATATGTAAATCTCAGTTCTGTCTCTTACTAGCTAGGTGAATTCAGGCAAATAGCTATACTTCTCTGAATATCAGTTGCCTTGATTGGAAAAAAATGGGGATCACAATAATATTAATATTAGGGTGCTATAGTGAGTATTGAATAAGAGAAATGTGTGGGAAATGGTCTGCCATAAATAGTAGGTCCTCAATGCAGACTGTTTTTTTCATCAGTATGTCTCTGCAGATAAAGTTGTAAGTTGAACTATTGTAGGTCAGGGACCATCTGTATACTTACCAGCAGAAGTTTATGTAAAGATTGGTTGGCATGAAAGCATATAAGAATTTGGAACAGAATGAACCTTAGAACAAAGTTTGGATGTCACACTGTCAGCACAGCTGTCCCCATCCCTCACTGAGCTTTTCTATCACACTTTATACTCTTTTGCAATTATCTTTAATATAGACCACATTCATTCAGAATTTGTATTAATGCAGAGAGGAATGGTGCTGGAATGAACTCTTGGGGGGCACTGGGTGAGGTTTGTCAGGCAAATTAATCACAAAATCCATATCTAGAGGTGATGTTTAAAGCACCTAAGGAAAAAACTAACTGCATGGTTAAACATTTCAGAGGCACTATTTACATAAACACTGGACATGCTAATTATACACTTAACTGATACGAATTTTTTTTCATTGTTTCTCCTTATTATATAAAAAGCCAGCTTTATTGAGTTATAATTTGCATACAATTAACTGCACCCATTTAAACTGAACAATTCAGCGATGAATGTGAGACGAATCATATCCAGGAAGCCACCACCACAATCAAGAACAGGAAATTTCCATCAGTCTAAAAGATTCCTTGTGGCCATTTGAAGCTGTCCCTCCCTCACCTCTGATCCCAGCCAGCCAGGGGTCCACTTTCACTCAGTAGAGATTCTTTTGCATTTTCTAAAATAGTGTATACATGGGATTATATAGCATGTACACTTTCATGTCTGGCTTATTTCACTCAGCATGATTACTGACATTCATCCATGTGGTAGTATGGATCAGTAGTTTGTTCCTCCTTATTGCTGAGCAGTATTCCCTTGCTCTAGATAATTCTCATTTTATCCACTTACCCGTTGGTAGGTATTTGGGTTGTTTTCAGTTTGGGGCTATTATGAATAAAGTTACTGTCAACATGCATGGACAAGCCTCTCTGTGGGTGGGTGTATGTTTGGGTGAATACCTAGGAGTAGAATGAGTGACCCATATAGTCGATGTTATTTTGAACTTTTTAAGAAACTGCCAGACAGTTTTCCAAAGTGGTTTTACCATTTTACATTTTCATCTGCAGTGTAAGTTCCTGCTCTTTACATTCTTACCAACACTTGACACTTCCAGTTTTTTCAATTTTAGCCATTTTAATGGGAGTGCAGTGGTATCTCATAGTGGTTTTAGTTTGCATTTCCCTGATGATTCATGATGTCAATTAAATTTTTATGTCTTCATGAGCCATTAGTATATCTTCTTTGGTAAAGTGTTTAATCAAATCTATTACTTAATTTTTATTGGATTGTTTACCATCAAATTGTAGGTTGCAAGTGTTCTTTATATATTCTGTTCTTTGTCAGATATATGTAATATGAATATTTGCTTCCATTCTATAGCTTGCTTCTTTTGTTTTCTTAATGGTGCCCTTTTAAAAACAGCTTTATTGAGATATAATTCACACACCATACAGTTTACCCATTTAAAATGTACACTACAGTGGTTTTTATTAGTCACAGGGTTTTAAGTCATCACACAACCTAATTTTAGAACATTTTCGTCCCCCTAAAAGAAACCCTGTACCCATTAGCAGTCACTCTCGAATCTTCCCTTTCCCCAGCCTCTGGCAGCCAATTACTATCTGTCTCTGTGTATTTGTCTACTCTAGATGTTTCACGTAAATGGAATCATGCAATGTGTATGTTTTTTGTGACTGGTTTCTTTTACTTAGCATAATATTTTCCATGTTTATCCGTGTTGGAGCACATATCAGTATTTCATTACTTTTTTAAAAGTTGTTTTTATTGTTCACACTGTTACAGATGTGCCCCATTTTTCCTCCTTTGTCTCCCTCCATCCCCACCCCCCCTAGGCCTTTGCCACATTATTATCTGTGTCCACATTATTATCTGCATATATGTTCTTTGGTTAATCTCTTCTAATCTCCCTCACCTCCCTCACTTCTGGGATCTGTTAGTCTGTTCCATGTATCCATGCCTCTGGGACTGTTTTGTTCATTCAGTTTATTTTGTTCATTAGATTGCACATATAAGTGAGATCATGTGATATTTGTGTTTCACTGACTGGCTTATTTCACTTAGCAGAATACTCTCTAGGTCCATCCATACTGTCCCAAAGAGTAGGAGATCCTTCTTTTTCACAGCTGCATAATATTCCATGGTATAAATGTACCGCAGCTTTGTTATCCACTAATTTACTGATGGGCACTTGAGCTGTTTCTAGATGTTGGCTATTGTAAATAATGCTGCTGTGAACATAGGGGTGCATATATTCTTTCTGATCGGTGTTTCAGGATTCTTAGGATATATTCCTAGAAGTGGGATCACTGGGTCAAAAGGTAGTCCCATTTTTAATTTTTTGAGGAAATTCCATACTGTTTTCCATAGTGGCTGTACCAGTCTGCATTCCCACCAGCAGTGCACGAGGGATCCTTTTTCTCCACACCCTCGCCAGCACTTGTCATTTGATTTATTGATGGTAGTTATTCTGGCTTGCCAAGTAATATTTCATTATGTGGTTATATCACATTTTATTTATCCATTTATCAATTGATGGGCATTTAGGCCATTTCTACTTTTGGCTGTTATACATAATGATGTTAGGCATATTCATGTACAAATTTTTTGTGTGGACATGTGTTTTCATTTCTCTTGGGTGTATACCTGGGAGTAGAATTTCTGGGTCAAATGGTAACTCCATGTGTAACATTTTTGGGAACTCCTAAACTCTGTTCCAAAGTGACTGCACCATTTTACAATCCCAAGAGCAGTGCATGAGGATTCCAATGTCTCTACATCCTTTCCAATACTTGTTTTATCTTTTAGTTGATAGCCATTCTTGGGTGTGAAGTGTTACCTCATTATGGTTCGTCCACTTACAGATCATCTTTGGAGAAATATCTATTAAAATAATGTCTCTCTTTTAAAATTGGGATATTTGACTTTTATTTTTGAGCTATACGACTCTCTCTATATTCTCTATATAGGTCCCTTATTAGACATATGATTGGCAAATATTTTTTCCTAGTCTGTGGTTTTCCTTTCACTTTCTTGATGGTATCATTTGCAGCCCCGAAGTCTTTAACGTTGATGTACAGTTTGTTTTTTCTCTTGTCACTTATGCTTTAGTGTAACATCTAAGAAACCATCACCTAATTCTTAATGGTACCTTTTGAATAAGAAACATTTTAATGGTAAAAAATTCCAACTTATTAATTTGTTTTCTCTTCTGGTTTGTGCGTTTTGTGTCTTGTATGAGAAGTTTTTGCCTACCCCAAGTTTGCATTTATTTTTTTCTTCTAGAAGTTTTATAGTTTTAGCATTTCATTTAAATGTATTTGCTTTTAAAAAAATTATCTTTAATTTTGAAAGTATTACAGATGTCCCCCTTTCCTTCCCCCCTCCATTGACCCCCTCCACCCTGCACCTGCCCCTCAGGTCTAT